TTTGTGTGGGTTTTTGCCCCCCCCCCCCAGACTCTGAGCTGCAGATCGCCCTGGTGGCGCTCTTCAGTGAGATGCTGTATCGATTCCCCAACGTGGTGGTGGCCCATCTCACCCGGGAGTCTGTGCAGCAGGCCATCGCCAACGGGATCACCGCCCAGCAGGTAAAACCAGAGTTTATCTGCTAAAGCCTAGAGTCTGATTACAGGAAACAGGTTCAGGTTAAATGTCCACTTTGATGTGTGTTGAATCTTCTGCTCTGTGCTTCAGATCATCCACTTCCTGAGGACCAGAGCTCACCCCGTCATGCTGACCCAGGTATGTGTGGTCAGAGGTTAGGTTAGGGTTGGACTTGGTTAGGGTTAGGTTGGGTTAGGATTAGGTTAGGTTGGGGTTAGGGTTAGGTTTAGGATAGGTTGGGTTAGGTCAGGTTGGGTTAGGTTTGGTTTAAGGTAGGGTATGTCAGGGTTAGGTCCGGTTAGGTTCGGGCTGGGTTAGATTAGGTAAAGTGAGCGTTAGATTAGGTTAGGGTTGGGTTAGGTTAGGGTTATGGTTAGATTAGGGTTGGACTTGGTTAGGGTTTGGTTTGGTTAGGGTTAGATTAGGTTTAGGTTAGATTAGGTTGGGTTGGTTTAGGTTAGGTCAGGTTAGAATAGGTTACGGCTGGGTTAGGGTTAGATTGGGTTAGGTTTAGGTTGGGTTAGGGTTGGGCTATGGTTAGATTAGGGTTGGTTGGGTTAGGGTTGGACTTGGTTAGGGTTCGGTTAGATTAGGTTTAGGTTAGGGTCAGGTTAGGTTGGGTAAGGTTCGTATTGAGTTAGTGTTAGGTTAAGTTATCGTTAGGTTAGGCTGGGTTAGATTTAGTTGGGTTAGGGTTAGGGTCCAGTTATCTGGCTCCTGACCTGGTGTGTTTTCCCTCAGACCCCGGCGCTGCCGCCCACCATAACGGACCAGATCCGGCTGTGGGAGCTGGAGAGAGACCGGCTGACGTTCTCAGAGGGTGAGACCCACAGCCCTGTTCTGT